ATGAACTCTGAATAAGTAGTTTTTAAAATAATGTGATTCAGAAGTAGCTTTAGATAATGTTTTATCCTAACTAATCTTTGCTTATATCCCAGACTTGGGGGGGGGGCATGTCACAGTAGTTAATATTCATTGTATAGTCCTTACTTTTCAGTTTAAGAAACTGAGTCAAGTTTAACACGGACGAATCTAAAGTTGGCCTTTGTATAAGGAGCTGTGTTTTTCTTTTTTAAAAACTTTTTATTTTGAAATAATTTTAGACTGCAGAAAAGTTGCAAAGATGGTGCAGAGTTCGTATGTGTATATGCCCTTCATGCATCTTACTCTAATGTTAGCAACTTACACAACCATAGCAAAGTTATCAAAACCAGGAAATTAGCATTGGCGCAATACTATTAACTAAACTATAGACTTTATTCAGATTTAACCCGTTTTTACCTACTGCTCTTTTTCTGTTCCAGAATCCAATTCAAGGCCCCACATTATATTTAGCTGTCATCTCTCTCTCTCTCTCTCTTTTTTTTTCTTTTGAGACAGTCTCACTTTGTTGCCCAGGCTAGAGTGAATGCCGTGGCGTCAGCCTAGCTCACAGCAACCTCAATCTCCTGGGCTCAAGCAATCCTACTGCCTCAGCCTCCTGAGTAGCTGGGACTACAGGCATGCACCACCATGCCTGGCTAATTTTTTGTATATATATTTTTAGTTGATCAATTAATTTCTTTCTATTTTTAGTAGAGACAGGGTCTCGCTCTTGCTTAGGCTGGTTTCGAATTCCTGCCTTCGAGCAATCTGCCCTTCTCGGCCTCCCAGAGTGCTAGGATTACAGGTGTGAGCCACCGTCCCAGGCCTGTCATACCTCTTTTATCTCCTCCAATCTGTGACAGTTCCTCAGTCTATCCTTGTCTTTCGTGACATTGACACTTTTGATGAGTACTGCTCACTTTGTTTGTCTTATGTTTTCTCATGATAAGAACTGAAATGATAAGAGAGTGTCTTGTGTTTGTTTTCTCATGATAAGATTGAGGTTATACATTTTTGGCAAGACTACCACAAATGTGCCGGTGTGTCCTTCTCAGTGTATCACATCGGGGCCACGTGATGTCAACATGTCCCATTCCTGGTGATGTTAACCTCGATTACCTGAATAAGTTGGTGTTTGCTGGGTTTCTCCACTGCAAAGTTACTATTTTTTTTCCTTTTGCCATAGATACATATTTTAGGCGAGATACTTTGAGACCATACCTGTTTATCCTCAAATCTTTGCTCACTGATGTTAGCATCCAGCTGTGGATCTTGCCTGAAATAATTATTACTGTGATGTGTACCTGCTGGTAATTTTACATTTCCCTTGTACTTTATACATCTATTACTTGAGATTTTTTTTTTTTTACTTCAGATTCTTTTGTAAGGAAGAACTGTCCCTTCTCCACCATTTATTTATTTATGCACTTATTTATTTATTTATACTATGATGCTGCTCCCTCCTCCTTCCTATTACCTGGTTTTCATGCCTCCTCCTTTCCACCTCTTCCCCGACACCTTGTGGGTCACCAATCTCTGTAGTTTCTGGTCTATCCTTTCTATATTTTTTTTGTACAAATAAGCAGATAAATGTAATATTTTCTTTTAACAACTTTACTAAGGTATAAATTATATATCATAAAATTCACCAATTTTTAAGTGATTTTTAATTATTTTTAGTAAATTAGCTGAGGTGTGTAACTATCACCATAATACCAATATCACCACATTTTTTTTTTCTTTTGGTCGTCCAGGAAACATGGATAATATCACCACATTTTTAAATGTTTTCCTCACCTCAGTAAAATCTTTCATGATCATGTTTTCCTCATTCCCAGACTAGCCCCAGTAATCAGTAATCTATATCTATATATTTGCTTTTTCTAGACATTTCATATAAATGGAATCATATAATATGTGGTCTTTTGTGTTTGGATTATTTCACTTAACATAATGCTTTTGAGGTTTATCTGTATTGTATTCTGTATTGGCATTTTATTACTTTTTATTGTTGAGTAGTATTCCATTGTATGAACTATAGCATGTTTTTTTTTATTCATTCACCAGTTGATAAGCATTTAGGTTGCTTCTATTTTGGGGCTTTCATAAATAATGTTGCTATGAACATTTGCATGCAAGTCCTTGTATGGACATAATATTTAATTTCTCTTGGGGATTTATCTAGGAGAATTACTGGATCATATGGTAATTTATGTTTCACTTTTAAAGAAACTGCCAAACTGATGATTTCTTGGATATCAGACCAAAGGCACAGGCTACAAAAGAAAAAACTAGATAAATTGGACTTTATGAAAATTTAAAAATTTTGTACATCAAAAGGCAATATGAATAGAATATACAGACAACTCACAGAATGGGGAAAATGTTTGTAAATCATATATCTGATAAAGGGTTAATATCCAAAATATACAGAGAACTCTTAAAACTCAACACCAAAAATCAAACAACCCAATTCAGAAATGGGCAAAGGATTTGATATTTCAAAGAAGATATACAATTGGCCAATAAGCATATGAAAAGATGTTCAGCATCACTAATGCTTAGGGAAATGCAAATCAAAACTACAAATGGGAGATACTGCTCACACCCATTAGGATGACTACTGTCAAAAAAATCCCAGAAAATAACAAATTTGATGAGGATGTGGAGAGAATGGAATCCTTGTACACTGTTGATGGAAATGTAAAATGGTATAGCTACTATGGAAAACAGTATGGTGGTTCCTCAAAAAATTAAAAATAGAATTACTATATGATCCAACAATTCCACTTCTGGGCATGTACGCCCCAAAATTGAAAGCAAGATCTTGAAGAGATATTTGTACACCCATATTCATAACATTATTCACAATAGCCAAAAGGTGGAAGCAAGACAAGTCCATCAACAGATGAATGGATAAGCAAAATGTGGTACATAAAATGGAACATTATTATCCAGGCTTAACAAAGACATAAATCCTGACATATGCTCAGCATGGACGATATTTGAGAACATTATGTTAGGTGAAGTAGACCAGCCATAAAAAACCCAATATTGCATTTTATCATAAGCTGTCTTACCAGAAAAAACAAACACTGTATTATTCCACATATATGTGATACTTAGAGTAGTCAAAATTATGGAGTCAGAAAGTAGAATGGTAGGTGCCAGGGGCTGTAGGGAGGGGTGAATGAGGAGTTATTGTTGAATGGGTATAGAATTTCAGTTTTACAAGGTGAAAAAAGTTCTGGAGATAAATGGTGGTGATGGTTACATACCATATTATGAATTTTTTAATCATACTAAACTGTACACTTAAAAAAAAAAGAAACTGCTAAACTATTTTCCAAAGTGGCTATGCCATTTTATATTCCCATCAGCAATGTATGAGGGTTCCCATTTCTCCACATCTTTGCCAACAGTTGTTATTGTCTGTCTTTTTTATCATAACCATTCTAGCAAATGTGAAATGGTATCTCATTGTGGTTTTAATTTACATTTTCCTGATAACTAATGATGTTGAGCATTTTTTCATGTGTTTGTTAGCCATTTGCATATCATCTTTGGTGAAATGTCTATTCAAATCTTTTGCCCATTTTAAAATTGAGTTGTTTATCTTATTGAGTCATGAGAGTTCTTTGTCAGTCCTTATAAATTTATGCAATGTGTGTTTGGTATTATATCAAAGAAATCTTTACCTAATCCAAGTCTAAAAGACTTTTCTCATATATTTTCTCTGAAAAGCTTTACAGTGTTAGCTCTTACATTTAGGTCTCTGATCCATTTGAGTTGATTTTTGTGTCTGGTATGAGGTAAGGGGCTAAAGTCATCTTTTATTCATATGGATATTCAATTATCCTAGCACCATTTGTTGAAAAGGCTAACATCCCAATGAATCACCTTAACACTTTTGTTTAAAATCAAGTTACCACAATAAATATAAGGGTTTATTTCTGAACTCTCGATTCTGTTCCATTGATCTATATGTCTGGCTTTATGCCCATACCACACTGTCACTGTCTTGGTAACTGTACCCTAAAGTTGTAGTTAAAGTCCTCCAAATTTGTTCTCCTTTTTCAAAATTGTTTTGACTCTTCCAGGTCTTTGTATTTCTATGTAAATTTTAGGATAACCTTGTCAAGTTCAGCAAAAAAGTGTGCTGAAATTTTGTGTTTTTATATTTTCGTATTTCTTACATGAAGATAATATACTACAGATATTCTTGATTTTTTTCATTTACTAGTATATCCTAGAAATCACTCCAAATCAGCTCAGAGAGCTCTTTGCCACTTTTTTTTAACAGCTGCATAACACTCCCTGGAATAGAGGTACCATAATTTACTAACCTATTCTTATATGTATGGGGCAAAAATGCTGCAATGAATAATCTTGTACATATTTGTTTTCCTATTGTTGGAGACGTATCTTCAGGGTTGATTCCCAGAAGTGGGATGGCTAGTTAAAGGTAAATGCATATGTCTCCATAAATAGCCTTTGTGTGGTTTACTTCTGTTTTGTTCCTCAGACATTGATGAATGTGAAAACGAACTCAATGGAGGCTGTGTCCATGACTGTTTGAATATTCCAGGCAATTATCGTTGCACTTGTTTTGATGGCTTCATGTTGGCTCAAGATGGTCATAACTGTCTTGGTAAGGAAAACATTTGGAAATGGCAATTCTCATTTACCCACCCCTTTCTTTCCTTTGGTGAAAACTTATGAAGACAAAAGAGGATCAGAGACTTGTGTTTTCTAACCACTTGGAAATCAGACTCCCTGATAGAAAATCTAACTAAAAACTAAAGTGTTTTAGTTCTGTTTTTTTTTCTTTTTTTTTTTTTTTAAGACTACAAGAGTTAAAGTTTAATTCACACAGATTAGCTTTCTTTCAAAGGAAAACATTATGTGACAATTCACACTTGAACACCTGGTATAACACAAACTTCCACTCTATCTGGCACAGACATATTCAACATGCTATATTAAGTATAATCTCCATTTTATTTTTTTCCAACGGATAGTTTTTCTTCAGTCCTCAAGGACTCAACTCCTTACATAGGCTTTGGTGGAGGTCTTGGGGCACCACCTGCAGGTCTAAATCTGGGTGGGGGTGTTCGGTCCTTGCGGGCTTCCCGAGAACGATTCCTGACTACCTTGCTGTGAATGGCACAACTCACACAGTAATGTAGCTTCACATACAGCTTGGGAAGCACATAGGCATCGAAGACACTCGCTTCAGATATGTCCCTGACAGCTGCAGCCTCCACTATGTTCCGAATGACAAACTTCTTTATGGCCTTGTCTGTAGGCACGCATCGGGCGCAGTTCGTGCAGCGAATAGGCTGCACATGGCCACGGCCCTTTTTGGCACGACCGTTGTTCCTTCTTTTCTTTGTCATCTTGGAAACGAGGACGCGAAAAAGGACTCTTTTTTTCTTTTTGGAGATGTAGTCTGGCTCTGTCTGTCACCTGGGCTAGAGTGCCATGGGGTCAGCCTAGCTCACAGCAACCTCAAACTCCTATGCTCAAGAGATCCTTCTGCCTCAGGCTCCCAAGTAACTGGGACTACAGGCACGCACCACCACGCCCGGCTAATTTTTCTGTTTTTAGTAGAGACAGGGTCTCGGTCTTGCTCAGGCGGGTCTCACACTCCTGACCTCAAGCAATTCTCCTGCCTTGGCCTCCCAGAGTGCTAGGATTATAGGTGTGAGCCACCGTGCCCAGCCAGTGTGTTTTAGTTTTTATGTGACTAGTCATAAAATAAATTTTCCCTTAGTTCAAGAAGATGGGTGGGCATGGTCATTATTATTTATTGATTTTCTAGTATTGGCTTGTTACTTTTAAAATAATTTGTCTTGAGTTGCAAGGTCCTGACTTATACACACTTCTTTAATGCTGTGTCTCTATTCTGGAATAGGTAAAACTCCTTGTCTTGAAGACTCTAAATGTGTGCTTGGGTCATAGCCAGATAGACCTCCCTCTTTTTTCTCGAAAGAGAAAGAAAATCAAACAGAAATCTTCCCTGAACATCCTTCTAGTATTCCACAAAACAGAAACATCTGTTTCATTCCCTGAGTTAGAGACTGTAAAGAGTGTTGTTTACATTGATTCCTTATGCCAGGAAAAAAATAGAACTTAGGAACAGCAAGCAATTGGATGGGGCTGAGTGTTAGATAGTCTTAGAGAATACAGCACGCCTGGAAGGTAGGTATTTATGGTTTGCTTTATAAGGCTGGTGTTATCAGTTGGACAGGAGGACATCAGGGAAGACACATGGCATCAGGGGTCCTTTGATACTGCTGACCTTTCATTTGGTTGATTTATTGATCTCTAGTTGGCCAACTAAGGAGCAGCTTGAGCCAGGCTCTGGCTCTGTGGGGGCAGCCATGCCCCCTCATGGTGCAGTAGCAATGGCCACTTGATCAAATGCTTTGAGATCAGCATAAAAGGCACTAGAAAAAATACAGGTAGAACTTGTATTTTGAGTATTGTAGCTCTGGGGGGGAGCTATTTCCATTTGAGACCCAACCTCATATGAGCTTTGTCCCGCTTCAATGTCCCCTGGAGCTCCGTCCTTATAGACTCTGTTCGTTCCTGTCTGTGCCCTGTGTGAGGAGTCAGGCTTTGGTGTGCACACCACTTGGCATTTCAAGCCTGCAGCTGTCAGTAAGACTTGATTGAAGCCTGAGGGTCAATGACCCCTCTGCAAACTTCTATGCAGTCATAACACAAAAAGACACATTTAAGAGACAATCCTGAGAGCAGGAATAAACCGAAATTAATGAAAAACTCAAAAAAATATAATTTGTTGGGAAGCATACATTATGGACTTTTTGTTTGTTTATTTGTTTTAACCATTTTCAGGGAGGGATTTCTTTGATGTGCCAACAATGGCACTTTGAGGATTCATATGTGGTGGTAGACTGATGGTCGTGACTGTGGTGCTGTAATCCACAGCCTGGGAGACAATGTGAGCTTCCTAAGGGCAACAAGCTGAACCATCTAGGGGTTGAGGACCTGGCCAGGGGTGGGCAGGGCAGTTCTGAGTACAGGCTCAGAAATCCAGAGCCCATATTGTTCCTTGTCTTAGCCAACAGCCCAGCTATCTCAGCAGAGTGTCTCCACTTCCCCTCCTCGGGGTCATTGTGGACTGGGCAGCACAGATCTGCCTTGCAGAGAGACCCTGAGCATCCACTGAGGATTTCTGAAGTGGGTAAGGATTCCTTAAAATGAAGGCATGAGAAAATAAAGTACTTTTGGAAGAGCAGGGCTAGCACACACATAGAGATTTCTCTGCTATCCAGACTTGAAAGGGCTGAAGCTCTTTGTGACAAGAAGCTCAGAGCCAAAACTTTTCAGGAGTGGCAGTTTCCCTGAGTTATCTGCGATGACCCTTCACCTCTCCTCAAGCCCCTGACTGCACATTAGCCAAATATATATTAGCGGGGATATTGAGAGGACAAACACCACTTAACTCTGGCATTAAACCCAGAATGCTCCAAGATCCCGAGTGCTGGCAAGCCTCAAAACCGAAAGGCAGCTCTTCCACACAGCTCACCCCATCTGCACTTAGTTTCTATTTATAGAGATTCTGGGAGCTCGGCATAGCTATTCCGCTTTGTAGCAGTGGTTCTCAGCCCTGGTCACACATTAGAATCACCTGAGAACCTCGGCCTCCCCTGAGGCTGGTTCCATCGGTGGCTCTGGAGGCCGCATCCAGGCATCAGGGTTCTAACACGTAGCCAGGGTTGGGAACCACTGTTTTTCAGTCTGGAGATGCTCACCAGCCTACTGATAGAATTTGTGTGTATACACACACACACTTTCGTATTTATCCAGTTGGAGTACATCACCCAGCTTAATGTCACATTTCTGATTGCTTTAGAGAAAAGCAATAGTGGGTTAAATGTGGGGTGGGGGTGTGACAGCTCAGGCGGGAGCACGCCTTAGCCCACAGCCAATCCAGGGTTTGGTGTCCAGGGAAACAGTACCCTCCAGTTCTCTGTGGAACAGCCAGGCCAGGTGTGTTCCCGCATGGCCCATCCTCTGGGATGTGCCTCCTTCACCCTTTGGCACAGACAGGGGCAAGTTTGTTAGGCTTTAGGGGATGGCTCGAGTCCCATCAGTTTAGTCAGGCATCTGCCTGGTAGTGTGGGAGGACAGATGACTGTAAGATCTGAAGCTTGAAACCAGATAACAGATATTTAAATATGAATTTTCTTATTACAGATATGCCCAGGAGCTAGTGATAGGCACATGAGAAATTAGGCTGGAGAAAATAAATTGCTTTTATATTGGCCTTCTCCAGGAGCGTTTGTTGTCTGAAACTTCCCTTGAAGTTTCTCTTCTTTGGGTCTGGTGATGCTGTGCTCACCTGCTTGTTTGTTTGTGCATTGAACAGTTAATGAGCAGCTGCTGTATACCAGGGCTGTGCTAATTAAAACAAAGAGTCTCTGTCCTCGAGGAGTTTGCAATCTAGTGGAGATGGATAAATAAAGGATTTTGAGAATGCAACTCAGTAAGTGTGTTAGTACAGTCGTGCACAGGGTATTACAGATGTGGGGGGAAGAAGGTCCCCTAAAGATTCCTCCCTCCTTGCCTTTCTGACAGCTCCTTTCCAGAGGCTCCTGGAACTCCTGCTGTCTCTTCCACTTCCTCTTCGGCCGGCATTATCCAGAATTCTACCTGTGGCTTTCTCCTTTCTGCTCCCTTTTTCTCCCTTCCCCTACTCCTGCCTTTGGCTTTCTCATCAACATCCACCACTTTATCAGGCAACTACAAGTAAATGGTTTTCAAAGCTGTGCATACAACACCAGATTCTCTTCCAACCAAACTCAGGTTTCACACACTACCTGCTGGACCTAGCCCTGAATTGCGTTTCAGCAATCCAGCATTTTAGACACATCACCTCCCTGCCTTGCATGAGGATGAGGGGAAACCAAATCTCCATTCCCATTTCTGTGCCCAGCACTGGTCTTCCCATGTTTCTTTTCCAGAAGGCCGTCATGTCCTCTAATGATGCCCCACCCCACAGCCCACAGGCTCCTGGCCCTGCAGCACCTTGTCCACCCCCAGTCTTTTTCTGTGCCTTGCTTCTTAGCATCCTGGCCACCAGCCCCTGCTCTGTCCCCCACTAGCACTAGCTGTGGCTGTTTCAGGTACATGTGTGAAGCTGGATTCCAGGGTTTCCATTCTCCCCCTTCCCTGTGTCCTACCCTCAGCTACTGCTTATTTTTCCCAAAGCAGAGGCCTGACTAGGTCTCTTCTGCTCCAGTGGTTCCCAGCTGCTTCCCAAATTAAGTAGGAATTTCTTTGCCTGGTATTCAAGATTCTGCAGTGTGACCCTGATCCATCTTCCCAGCTGTCTCTCCTGTAACTTCCCTCTCTGTGCCCTGTGCTCCTGCCAAACTGGATGACTCACCGGCATCTGAATGTGCTCCATGCTGCCCAGCCTTCGTGCTATCACTCAGGCTCTCTCTTCTACCTCCAGTCCTTTCTCTCCTGATTTATAACCGGAGAAATCCTAAGGGCTCATCTTTCATCAGCTTTTCCATAAAACCCATCCTGATACCCCACAACTGGATGTGACCTTCCGTTTCTTGTGCCAGCATTTTCTTTATCTCAGAATCATTTGTATATTCATCTCTTACTGAAGGGCACACGCCTAGAGGGAAGGAATTTTATCTTCCTCATCTGCATTTTACTGTCTCCTCTAGCACTGTGCTACAGGAGAAAAGAAGATGTTCAATAAATATTTACCGAACTGATTTATCTTGTGTCCGTGTGGTGGGCGTGGCCAAGTGAGCCCCAGACCCAAAAGTGCTGTGCTAATTGTCTGTGGGCCTCACCTTCCATTGCAAGAGCTTCTGTGATGCAGGGACCAGAAGAGGGACCTCACCTCTGCCTAGCAGGAGCCCCTGAGCTGTTGGGCTGGGTGGGGTGTTTGAAACAGTCACCAAAGCAAAAGCTAATCCCTCTCTCCCTCCAGATGTGGACGAGTGCCTGGAGAACAATGGCGGCTGCCAGCACACCTGTGTCAACGCCATGGGGAGCTACGAGTGCCGCTGCAAGGAGGGCTTTTTCCTGAGTGACAATCAGCACACATGCATTCACCGCTCAGAAGGTACCTCTGCCTTGCTGGGGATGGGGACAGAGTGAGACATCTGAGATCTGAGATCCACCCTTGCACACACACAATGACTTTAGAGGGGCAGCTGGAGGCCCGAAGACAAGCCCAGACTCTGCTGCTGGGTAACTGTGGGCAAGTTTTTTTAACTTCAGCTTCCTCCCCTGGCAAAATAAGTGCACTGGACTGGGTGAACTCTGAGGTCCTTTCAAACTCTCACGTTCTCTGATTCTAATCTTTAAATAGAGTACATTTCAAACATGACTAGGTGTCTCAGGAGCAATGTCATGCATGA